GCACGTTCGAAGCTACCCGAAACAGAATCTCTGGACGACGCAGTTGCGAACGCAGCGCGAGCCATGCACGAAACTTCGCAGATTGCAGCCCGACCCCAAGCACAACGACACCAATCGTGGGCCTCAGGCGCCGCCATTGCTTTGCTGGCAGAGCGAGACCAAGCGAGAAAAAAAAACAGCACAGGGGAAGAGACAAGACTCCATAAAGAAATCAAGACCGCAGTGCGACGGGACAAAGCAAAGCGGTTGGAATCTACATGTGCCGGGGGCCCCTGGGAAGCCATCCGGGGACTGAAAACTACACTTTCGAAGGCGCCGTTCACAGTCAAAAACCATGAGGGGGTCATCGTGGAGAGCGACCAAAGATCAAGCACTTCAGCAGATTATTTCGAAAATGAACCGCGGTGGAACAGCTTCCCAGACAAACTGCCTGGAGGGACAGAGACCTTGGGACATCAGCAACATATAAAGACGGAGGTGCCCTCGATGGACGAGCGCTGTCGGTTTCAAGGGGGGCGGGCCCAGATGGCATTTGTCTTGAGTTCTGGAAGTTCGCATCGGCGTCGAAGGGCGCATGCGAATATTTGCTTGATCCCTGCGCGGAACGCTGGAAACAAAAACGTGCCCCTGCGGAGTGGAAGACGGCGAAAGTCGCATTATTGCACAAAAAGGGAGACGCCCGTCAGCGATAATTACCGCCCCGTATCCGTATTAGCAGTGGGATATAAAGCACTGCCAAGGGTACTGCAGAAAAGGCTTCAACGTGGAGGGGCAGAAGATCGCATCCGCTCAACGCACTTCGGTTTCAGGCCACAGCGCGGCACAGTAGACGCCATCACCATAGCGCGCCGCATCTTCGACGCCGCGCACGCTGCAGAAGAACCCGGCGCACTCGCTACATTACTGGACTGGGCAAAAGCATTGGCCCGAATCAAGCAAGCACGAGGCCACGTTTATAGCGCTTGCCAGATTTGGTCTCCCAGGCCAAATGGTGGACATGATCAAAGCAATTTATGATGGAAGGGATCTCTGCTTAAAAGACCCAGGCGGCGACTTAACGAGGAGACATCAGTAGGCCAGGGTCGCGCAAGGATGTCCTCTATCGCCGCGCTTGTTCATCATTGCGCAAACAGACATGACGCTCGACGTATATAAGATCTACCAAAGCATGGCAAGCGACTATGAGGAGCCGGAGTACGTTTATGTTGTGATTTGTTGTACGTGGACGACGCAGTTCTTGCGTGCGCAAGCCCAGTGAAGTTGCAAGCCGTACTTGACTTGATCATCCAGGGAGGCGAAAAGTACGGGTTGGAACTCAATTGGAAGAAAACAATGATGATGCGAGTGTGCAACAATGGTCAAGTATACGCACTTGGTGGGCACGCGTTGAAATCCGTGGAACCGGCTGTGTACTGGGGGGGGCTTACTGAGTACATCAGTGCACAGCAAGCCAGAGGTGACCCGGCGAATCGGTGGAGCAAAACGGGTATTCAGTTTATTGAAAAACTATTGGAGCCACGCCAATATCACAAAACACAGGAAGCTGGAGATATTCCGGGCAGTTATACTCCCAGACCTTCTGTACACCTTGGAGTCGACTTGGCTACTCAAAGCAGACCGCGACAGACTGGGCAGCTCAGGCGGCCTGCTTGCGACAGATTGTAGAAATACTTCACGCGCGCGTGTCAAGAGCATCGAATGCTGGAGTGAGGGCGCTCGCAGACGCACGCCCATTGAGCGACGATGTATCAGGAAACCAAAGCGAATTGTATAGCAAGATCGCACAACTCCCCGTTGGACATATCCTGGAGGGAACACACCGGGGAAGTGGTGCCGCAAGCGCAGACGTGGACGCCCGAAGCTGCAGTGGGCTGCGGGCGTTTTCCCGTACGCATCCTGGTAATGTGTGCACCTTATGTGTAGCTATGTACTGCCCATGCGCCGTTTCGGCGCCTGGCTGCCTTGCTTGCTTACAAGAGGTGGAGCACATGGAGCTGCCCCATTCAGCGCGAACAAATGTTCGTGGGACCGAGTCCGACGGGGCCCTTCGCTGGGTGGCCGAGACATGCCCCTCATCCCGCACTCCGCCTCCCAAGCTGGAGTCCTCCCTTTTTGGAACAGCCCCGAGGAGCCGCCGGAAGTTTCTGAGGTGCCCAATCGGGCGACGCGGATCTCTTGCGCCTTCTTTGGCTACCAGGGACACGTCTAGATTTCGGGTTGCCTTGGGCTCATCACTGACCATACTCACCACCCACCAAGCCACCCCAACCCAACCCGAAGGCCTAAATTGACGCTCGATTTCCAGTAGGGGGTCGGGGGACATTGAAAAAACACATGGGACCCGTGACCCCCCAAACCCGAAATTCGGATCAAATGCGGATGTTCGGGTAGGGTTGGGGTGGTCTTGTAGGTAGTCACGTGCCCATCATGTGGGAGAGGAGAGATGCACAATACAGGGCCCGATCGTGCAGCAACGCGTAGTGGCGAGGGCGGTGCCCATCGGGCCCACACGCGGCCTCCTTGAAAACTTCCTGGAGCAGTTCCGGATATCGCCAATGCTAAAAATCCGTGGGACCAGAGCAGTGCGACCCTCAGGAAGAACACGAGGCTGACGCTCCCTTGAAGCCTGCCGCGCCATCTTCCAGGTGCGTTCCTGGACCTCCGGACGGGTACGAGGCGAGAGAGAAGATAACACTTGGGAGGCCGAGGAGAGGTACCATTCCTGGTCGGGGCGCACCTGGAGCTTGCCTTTTCAACTACCTAGAGCCTGTTTTTTTTTTATTGTTTGGGGCATGACGGGCGTCATGGCCCCCGATCCCCCCCCTATGACGTAACGTTCCTCCCCCCCCCCAGTGCGCTCCGGGCACCACCGCCGTGCGCATTGGGATCCGCGTAGGTGTCCGCGTAGGAATCCGCATAGGTGTCTGGTCCGCATTCGTCGTGGTGGTGGTGGTGGTGGTCGTCGTCGTCGTCGTCGTCCATCGTCGTCGGTCGTGGTTCGTCGCTCGTCGTTCATCGTCGTCGTGCGCGCGGACGCGGCTGGAGCTTGTTTTTAAATCCGGGCCGATGACGGCAATCATCTGGGGGGGGAGGGGGTCGATGACGTCTCGTTTCGCGGCGGCGGCGTCTGGGAATGCTTAGGAATGACGGAGGACGGGCAGCACGAACATGTAGGTGGCGATCTGCACCACAAAGCCTGTGTACATCACAGTGCCCGCGTGCACCACAACGACTGTGTACACCACACCGCCTATGTACACAGCAGCCGCGTGCAACAGTCAGTTTGGGCCACCGTGCCTGCGGGCACAGCAGCTCCTGTGTACACCACAGCGCTTCCGTACACCACATCAGCCGTGCGCGACGCAGCACCAGTGTACACCACAGTGCCTGCGTGCATTGCAGTGCCTGTGTATGACACGGCGCCTGTGTGCACCACATCAACCGTGTGCAACACAGCACCATTGTTGAGTATGGAATTTCAAAAAGAATCAGGGTGACAAAATGGAACACTTGTGGATTCCAGAGAAAGCAATGGAAAACAAATCGCTATGGACAAAGGAGCGCCGTTGGAATTTACGAGTCCCCCTGAGTCCACCCGCATCACCCTAACTCCCATTTGCGTCCAAGAGGCTCCAGCTAAATAGGCCGTCCGAGAACCAAGTGGACCGATTCAATCGACCATTTTGCGGTGCACGCTGAGATGCGGACGTGTGCTGTAACGGCAAACCCCACGACAGGGGGTAAGAATGAGGAGGAGGAGGTGGAGGAAGAGGGAGGAGGGAACAACGTCGCACTCGATTCTCAGAATTTACCTGGCGTGGCGCTTAGTTGGCCGCAGCAGATCCTCACGTACATGCTCCTTTTACCTGTCCTATGCACGCAGGCATTGTGGTGTACACCAGCGCTGCGTTGCACGCGGATGCTTTGGTGTAGACAGACGCTGTGGCGTGCACAGGCGCTGCGGTGCACGCAAGCACTGTGGTGTACACAGGCGCTGTGTTGCACATGGCTGCTGCGATGTATGTGCACTGGCGGTGTAGTGCTCCCAAGTCTTGCGGTATACGCAGGTGGTGCGTTGCACACGGCTGTTGCGGGGTACGCAGGCGTTGTGGTGCACACGCGCGGCGTGGTTCACGCGAGCGTTGTGGTGTACACAGGCGCAGTGGGCAGATCGCCACCTACATGCTGTTCGCGTCGTCGTCGTCGTCGTCGCTCGTCGCTCGTCGCGTCGTGCGCGCGGGCGCGGCTGTGGTACCGGGAACATACGGCGGGGGGGGGGGGGGGGCGTCACGTCATACCCCCCCCGCCCTCCCCCCCCCCGTTCCATGACGCCCGTCATCGCCGAACATGAAGATATGCGTTCCTATGGGCCCGCTTGGCACCCCCTGCCATGGCTTTGGTACGCCAATCCTGCCAGCGTCTTCCCGAGCAGGCGCGGGGGGAGGGGTGGAGGGAATCCCGAAGATGCTGGACGAATGCCACCACATTAGGGAGAACGACCCGCAGCGAATCAGGGCGCGAGAGGCCGAGAGCTTCGAAGTGGGCCAGGAACGGGTGCCAAAACGAGGCCCCAGCTTGCCAGAACTCTGAAAGGACCTTTCCTCAGAGGCACATCGGACAGTTGGCCGAGCAATATGTTGACGAAGTCCTGATGGAACTTCCTTAGGTTCTCGACAAGAGTATGCAACTCCCTCCTCCCTCCTCCCTCCTCCTCCTCCTCCTCCTCCTCCTCCTCCCTCCTCATCCTCCTCCTCCTGATCCTCCTCCCTCCCTCCTCCTCCTCCTCCTCCTCCTCATCCTCCTCCACCCTCCTCGTCCTCCTCCTCCTCCTCCTCCTCCTCCTCCTCCTTCCTTCTCCGCCCTCGCTCCCTCCCTCCCATCCCCTCCCCATTCCCTCCCCTCCCCTCCCTCCTCCCTCCCTCCATTCCTTCCCCTCCCTGCCTTCCTCCCTCTTCCCCCCTTCGTCGTCGTCTCGCCGGGGGGCCCTGCAGAGTCGGCAGGTGCCGCCCGCCGCTTTGGAGCGCTCCAGGGCCGCCTTCGCGGGCTGCCTGAAGCCCTGGGCGGCCGCCGCCACGCCGCCCGTGAGGCCCCCCTTTGGCGCGGTAAAGGGGGGAGGGGGGCAGGGAAAGGGGGGGGGGGGGGGGAGGAGGACGAGGGAGGCGAAGAGGCGAGCGGAGGAGGGAAGGGAGGAAGGAAGAGGGAGGAGGAGGAGGAGGAGGAGGAGGAGGAGGAGGAGGAGGAGGAGGGAGCGGTCAGAAGGGGGCGGGGAGCAGCCGCAGGATCGGGAGGGGGCGAGGGGAGGGCGGGGGGGGCCGGGAGGATGCCGAGGAGCTCTCGGCAGGCTGGAGACGAGGAGCAGAGGACCTCTCCTGTGGGGGAGGCGAGGGAGGCCGGGGAGCCCGAGCACGCTGCTCCGGGCCAGGCAGAGGGAGGGGAGCATCGCCCGCGGTGCGACTCTGCGGTGCTGCTCCGCGCTTGCCCCGCCGCGCCACCGCCCCCGCCGGCGGCGGGCGCCCGCGGATTTCGCCAAGTGCGACGGGCCCTCCCTGCTGGTGAGCTGGTTCGACGACGCGCGGCTGCTCGAGATCGTCTCCGGCCACACGGCGCGAGGGCGGCGGGGCGGGGGGCGACGGGGGCAAAGAGCGGCAGGGAGGACTCCGAGCGGGTGCGAGGGGGCGGAAGTAGGAGGAGGAGAAGGAGGAGGGAGAGAGAGAGGGAGAGAGAGAGAGAGAGAGAGAGCGAGAGGTAGAGAGAGACAGACAGACAGACAGACAGACAGACAGACAGACAGACAGACAGACAGACAGACAGACAGACAGACAGACAGACGGACAGAGAGAAAAACGGACAGAGACACAAACAACACAGAAGGCAGGTCGGATTGCTGGCAGTCCTCGCTTTCTCTCTCTTTCCACTACAGTGAGCCTTTCCACTATATAGTGAGCGGGAGGGGGAGGCAGAGTGGCAGGGGCAAGGCGAGGAGGGGCAGGGCGAAGAGGGGGACAAGGGAGGAGAGGGGAGGAGAGGGGCAGGAGTGGGACCAGAGTAGACCCAAGTTGCGTCGACGATGACCCGCCCCTCATGAGTCCCCGCAAGCCGTCCTTTTGACTACAAGATGCGCCCCCCTGAAAGAACTTGGCTTACCTCTCCCAGCGATCCATCAGTAAAGCAAAAAATTGCTGTAAGACCAGATGGTTCAACGAGTTGTCCAGCGATATCCCAATTTTAGAGCGTGTTCTACCGCTGCTGGCGGAAAACCGGGGGGGGGGGGTCACTACCGGTTCGAGCCCCCCCCCCTCCCCCTCCGGAAAACCGGGGGGGGTGTCACTACCGGTTCGAACCCTTCCCCCCCCCAGTCCATCATGAAAAGGGGGGGGGTCACTACCGGTTCGAACCCCTCCCCCCCTCGAAAACCGAGGGAGGTCACTACCGGTTCGAACCCCCCCCCCTCGAAAACCCGGGGGAGGGCGGACAGTGGTGGGGACGGTGGTGGTGGGGACAGTGGTGAGGGGACAGCGGGACAGTGATGGGGACAGTGGGACAGTGGTGGGGACGGTAGTGGTGGGGACAGTGGTGAGGACAATGGTGGGAACAGTGGGGACAGTGGGACAGAGTTGGGGACGGTGGTGGTGGGGACAGTGGTGTGGGGACAGTGGGAATGTGGTGGAAACAGTGGGACAGTGGAGGGTACAGTGGTGGTGTGGACAGTGGTGAAGGCGGTGGCGAGGACGGCGGTGGGACAATGGGACAGAGGTACAGTGGGGACAGTGGTGAGGACAGTGGGGACAGTGGTGGGAACAGTGGGACAGCTCAGTGGGACAGCGGAGGAGTCAGTTTGACAGTGGGGACAGTGGGGATAGTCGGGCAGTGGTTGGGGCCGTGGAGAAAGTGGGGAGAGTGGAACCGTTGTGGGAACAATGGTGGGGACAGTGGGGACAGTGCGACAGTGGTGGGGGTACTGGCGGGGACAGTAGGGACGATGGTGGAACCAGCGGGGACTGTGGTGGTGAGGACAGTGGTGCTGGGAACAGCAGTGGGGGATGTGGTGCGGACGGTGGTAGGGACCGGGAGTCGTTTGCTGGCGGTGAGGGGGGGGGAGGGTTCGAACAGGTTTTCGAGGGGGGGGGGTCGGACTGGTAGTGACCCCCCCGGGTTTTCGAGAGGGAGGGGGGGGGGGGGGGGGGGGTAGGGGAGGGGGGGGGTTGCCGGGAATGGGGGGGGAGGTTCAGCAGGGGGGGGGATTTTCGGAGGGGGGGGGGAACCCCTGGTTCCAGAGGAAGAGGGTGGGGAATTTTCCACAGTAAAGCGGCGGTGGATCACGCTCTCTCCAATTTGAGGAGACAGTCCTGACCAGTGAGGACTGTTGTACAAGCTCGCCCTTCTGGCCATGAAATTTCCGAAAAGAAGGAACCACCTTCTTTCCGCACAGCTGTTCCACAGGTTCAAGTGTCTGCTATGGAGATTATATGGAGGTCTCAAGCGAGAGCCCCATTTGTTTAAGGAGCCGTCTTCCATCCCTGTATGCTTGACCCTCCTCGTTTGAAGCATTGCGCGCGGTGTTGAGGCCGCAACTCCATCTTGAACAGGAAACGCCGTCCATCCATGTAGCTGCTGCTAACTTTTATGAATAATGTGCGAGGTGATATGGCGCGAGCCCCGTCGTGGAAAGGAGCCACCCTCCACCCATGTACGTAGCTGTTCCAACCTTCTTGTTGGGTCCAATCAGGCTCCGTAGCGCCCCTCGGCTGCCTCCGACCAGGGCGTGGTCCCACGCCGCTGCGATCCAAAATGCTCCAAGCTGTTATGATGGATGTGCGCGGCGCGAAGGCGAGCGTTCCCCTTCAATTGTAATTTTGTAATTGCCACACGTTTCTCTCACGAATGCGCGCGGCGCGTTGGTGAGAGCCCCAAGTATACTTTTCCTTTCCCCGTCCTTGTAACTGCAGCAAGTGCTAAACACGAATGCGCGCGTCGCAGGTGCGAGAGCCTCGACCCCTCTTGGTTCTTGTAGTTGTTGCACGTGTCAGGCTTCAGGGTCTTACATGGCGCGGGGGGTCTGAGTAGAAACGCCTGGCCCGGTCTTCCAACACGTCCGTGCGTGCGACAGGGAGGAGTTCTCTGTAAGGAAAACGGATACAGGCGGAGACGGAGGAGGTGGAATTCAAAGCCGCAGGGGGAGGGGTAGAGGGAGCGTGCTGGGGAGTAGAAGCGGGAGCGGGAAGGGGTGGCTGAGACGTAGGCGGGCAGGGGTGGGAGAATGAGCAGGAGGATGGCCACGACTCGGCTGCGAGCGAGGGGGGGCAGAGAGAAGGAGAAGGCCTTCTCGGAAGTCCCCCCGCCTTTGAGGAGTTTTCTTAGCCTTCCCCGAAGACGATCAAAATCTGCTCAAAAGGCGCGAGGGCCCCTGAGAGATTCCGCCGCCTTCTGACAAGGCCCTCTCCTTCCAAATGTTTCCCCCTCGCTCGCTGCCGCACCGCATGGTTAAGTCGGGCCTGTCCCTCTACAGGGGGAATATTCAAAAATAATCCAAAAATGGTATGGGGACTAGTGTTTGTATTTTTCTACCATTTTGGAGCATGGTTTGAGGATTTGTTATTTTTGGTCGAAGCTCCCCCTGTAGGGGAACACGCCCGACTGAACCGCATGGTGGAGGAAGGAGGAGACATGGATGGGCGGAACGCAGCGGGCAAGCGGGCGGGGTGCGGTTGGCCGGGGCGCGGAGAGCGGGCGCCGCGGGGGTCCGCGAACGGGGGGACGAGGAGCAGGAGGAGGAGGGGCAGCGGGAAGGAGGAGGAGGAGGATGAGGAGGATGCGGGTGGAGACGAAGGTGGAGATGGAGGAGGAGGAGGAGGAGGAGGAGGAGGAAGAGGAGGAAGAGGAGGAGGGTGGAGATGAAGGTGGAGATGAAGGAGGAGGAGGTGGTGGAGATGAAGGAGGAGGAAGAGGAGGAGGAGGAGGAGGAGGGGGAGGAGGAGGAGGATGTGGAAGGCGGTACGAGGAGTGAAGGAGGAGTTGTGGAGGTCGAGGGTGAGGAGCAAGGGCGAGTGAGGGGGTGGGGGGGGGTCGGAGGTCGAGGAGGACGTTGGAAGAGGGCCAATTCGGCCTCAGGCTTCCATGCAAGTAGACAGGCGCGTCGCACTTTGCGCGCGTGGTGGCCGTGATCGCTCAATGTTGGTAATCGGCGTTCCTCTCGTCGCTGCTGCTGCACGCACGGCGGCTGCTGCACGTGACGGAAGGCGTGTGGCGGGCTGGCGCGTTGCCCAGGCGGCGCAGTCTGCAGTTGTCCCCCCGCTCTAGAAGGGTGCGCAGGCCGCGCAGATGGAGGCGCGGGGGACTGACGCGAGCACAAGCTTTCGTGAGGGGCGGACGCGATGGATGCGGCCTGGCTCGCGGAGGCGGAGCAGATCCAGCTCCACGAGGACCTGATCCGGCGATTGGGGCGAATCTCTTTCGTGGCGAGGCTGGCAGATTGGGCCTCGCAGCTGCAGAGGTGCCGGTGCGGCTCGCGGGTTCGGTCCTCTCTGCGCCACCCGAGCTGTCGACAGACTGCCCGCGCCGTGCTGGCATGCCAGGCTGGCCCACGAGGAGGCCAGGAGCCGGAATAGGGGAACGAACAACGACATAAACATAAAAACTCGGAGGTCCGCGCGGATTTCTCGGGTCGGCGCTGGGGCCCCCTGGCGGCGCCTCCAGCGCCGCCCCTGGCGCGCTCCGCGCTCTAGGGAGGGGGGTCCAGCGCCGACCCGAGAAATCCGCGCGGACCTCCGAGTTTTTACGTTTATGCCACTTTTTGTTCCCCTAGGGAAGCCCGTGCCACCGAGCAGCGGTCGAGGTGCGAGCTGGCCGTGGCCGAGCTGGGCGCCGCGTCGGCGGCGGGGGTCGCACGCGAGCGGGGCGGCGGCCGGGCGCCCGCGGGTGCAAGTGCTGCCCGGGAGCTGCGGTGTCGGTCGTCGGTGGCGGAGGCGTTGCAGGACCTCGAGGTGATCGTTGGCCTCCTCCTCCGCCTCCTCCTCCGCCTCCTCCTCCTCCTCCTCATCGCTGACCTCTGGCGCCATGAGGTGGAGGGCAGGCGCCAACAGCCCTGGCAGGGGAGGGGGGAGGTGCCAGCAGGTCGCGTGCACGAGTGCGGCGGGGAGCCAAGGCTGGCCACCAGCCCAGTCTCGTGTGGAGTCGGGCCTGTCCCCCTACAGGAGGAACATTCTCAAGCAGTGGCGAAGCGTCCTGGCCTGCCTTTCGGCCTACCAAACAATGTTCTAAGAACCTTTTGTGGTTTCCACGAAATGTTCTTAGAACATTTCTGGCCGGGACTTTCTTGTTTGAACGCATCGGGTTAATGTTCTAAGAACCTTGTCTTCGTTCTTAGAACATTTTGGGGTTCTAAGAACATGCCGTGGTAGGCCTATAGGAATGCCGGGACTGTCGGTTCTGCTCAACATTCAAAATAGTTGTTTTATCTATGTCTGGGAACGATTGTTTTACCATGTTTGGCTATTGCGGAGCATGTTTGGACCATTTTTTATTCTTCCTCCCGAGATCGGCCTGTAGGAGGACATGCCCGACCTAAGCCTCTTGGCATGCAGCAGACGCTCAACGAGACGAACCAGAGCACTCAGATGGCCAGGCGTGCGGACACATGTCAGGAGGGGAAAAGACACACAGACACAACGAATCGTCGATTCCCAAGGAAATGTGGGAAACTATGGGAAGTGAGGGAAGACGAAAACCCAGGAAATATAGGAAAATATGGGACATCCTGGGATTTGTGTGTACTTATTTGCTATTTGTGTGTCCCTGGGCCCCTTCAACATGTCCAGCCACTGGAGACGGCTGGCCCGCGGGGGGCGGACGCGCGGGCAGCTCTGGAGGAGTCGGCCGAGGCGCAAGAGCAGGTTGCGGCAAACGACCAGGCAGCCATTGCGCGCAAGGTGATCGTTGTTTCATTCGCTGTTTTGCCGATCGTCGCGGGCCCTCGCCCCCCCTCCCCCCCCTTTGGAGTAGATCCTGGCTGTTTTGGGCGCCTTTTTCGAGCAGGCGGAGTCTCCCCCATGGGACGCACTGCAGCAAATAGTCGAGCATTATGCATAGGTCTGGAGCCAGACCCCCCCCTCCCCCTCCTTCCGCCCAATGTCGAAACGCCGAATAAGAAAACGCTCACAAGGCGACGAAGACGGAGTAAACGAACGGCTGAAAAGGCTGGACGGGTGACCGGGTCCGGCAGGGATTTTGGGAAGGCTGGAAGGGGAGGAAGATTGGGAAGTGAACGATTGGAAAGGCCCGGCCCAGAGCAAGAATCCATAGTTTTGTTGGGGCGGATCGTTGCATTGATTTTTTGTTTTGGGTGATGGCCGCGAAGAGACGCGGACGCACCGTTTTTGTACGGGGGTTGGTGTTGCCTCGGTGGCGCGCGTCCACAAGTTCTTACCAGGGACTAGGGGTCAAGGTCTCGAAGGCGACGGCCCGCCGTTTCCTCTCCTTTTTGAGTGGGATCGTGGCCCCGAGGGCGCGGACCCATACGATCGGGAGCTGCTGGTTAGCGTGTCGCTCCGCCGGTTCTAGCCCACCACGCTTCGGCGCGACATGCTGTCAACTCCCCCGGCGTCAGCGGCTCGAGCCTTCCCCAGCATCCCGCCCCGGGAGCGGGGCGACACGCCGTCCGCCTGCAAGGCATAGCGTGTCGCCGGGGCCGCCGTCGCGTCACGCTGCGCAGAAGCTCCCGACCGTCGTTGACTGTTCGCTTGGGGGCCGCGGCCCTCTGCCAGTGGTGTGGCGGGGCCTCCGGGGCGCGCGCCCGCCACGGCCTCTGTGCAGCGGGGCTCGTGGGCCCGAGAGCGCGGGCCCCGCGGGTCTGGGAGCTGCGCGGCCGCGCTGCCGCTCGGCGAGTGGGGGCCGGCGGCCCCCCCGTCTCCAGGGTTACGTCGGGCGTGTCCCTCTACAGGGGGATGTTCGACGAAAAATAAAAGATACCCCAAAAATACCCCAAAAAGGTAAAACAAATATTCAAAAAATTGCCCCCAGACTATTTTTTATTATTTTTGTATTATTTTTGGGGTATCCTTTGTTTTTCGTCGAAAATCCCCCTGTAGGAGGACAGGCCCGACTTACCTCCAGGGTGAAGGGACCACCCTGGCCCCCAGATCTGGCGTTTACTGCAGTGGAGCCCATGCCGAGGAGCACCCTGCTCGCCTCCAGGGTGTCCTGAGCTGCTCGGGGTTCGATGGTTTTGCTGTGGAAGGCGTGGCGTTCCCACGCCAGAAATCAGTAGACGTCCTGGGGTCTCAGGGTTGGGTTTCTTGTGGAAGGTTTCTTGTGGACTGGCCTCCACTGTACAACAGGGCTGCGCTTGTCGGGGCGCTGATCCTGCACATGTTTTTTTGTGCTGCCCTCCAGCTCTCTGGTGTAGCTCCTCCCTCCCTCCTCGGCTCGCACCGGCAGGGGTGGACTGGGCCACCGATTCCCGACGGCCTTCTCTTCTCTAGGGGAACGAAGAATGGCATAAACATAATAAAGACTCGGGGGTCCGCGCGGATTTCTTGGATCTGGGCTGAACCCCTTGCCTGGCGCGCGGAGCGCGACAGGGGCGGCGCTGGCGGCGCCGCCAGGGGGCCCCAGCGCGGATCCGAGAAATCCGCGCGGACCTCCGAGTTATTATGTTTACGTCATTGTTCTTTCCCCTGCAGGCCGCGACTTCGGCCCCCGCCTCGGCTCGGGCCCCGACCCCGTCTCTGGCCTCGGCCTCGGTCCTGGACCAGGGCCCCTCCCCAGGATCTTCAATGCCCCCCGATGCCTCACACGGGCTGCAGGGACGGGGGCCGCTGGATGCCCAGGAAGATGCCTGAAGCGTACCCTGGGCCACTCGCGCATCCTGACGTCGCTCTCGTCCCATCAGCGCCGATCGCCCGCCTCCGCCGTCCCTTCCGGACGGGGCACCGGCCGCCAGGTCCCCCCGCGGAGGGCGGGGCGCTCGTCTCGGGCAGCTCGCGCGCAGAGTGGCGGAGGGCGGGGCGCTCTTCTCGGGCACGAGTCCATCGTTGCTGTCCGCGGGGAGTCGTGGCCTCGCAGGCCCGGGCCCATCACCACCAGCATCATCATCAGCAGCAGCATCATCAGCATCAGCATCAGCATCAGTCATCAGTCATCAGCATCAGCATCGTATCATCGTCATCATCATAATCATCATCATCATCAGCATCATCATCATCATCATCATCATCATCAGTATCATCATCATCATCATCATCATCATCATCATCATCATCATCATCATCATCATCATCATCATCATCATCATCATCATCATCCTTCCTCTCCTCCTCCTCCTCCTCCTCCTCCTCCGCCTCCTGTTTTCTTTTCCTCTTTGGATGTGGCGTCGGCCCCGAAGGCGCGGGTCCACTGTTTGTTGCAAGCGCCCTCGTAGCTGCGGGCCAGTTGCCTTTTGACAGGGATCGCGGCATCGAAGACGCGGTCGTTGAGCTTGTGGAGGTAGTGCACTGTTGCGAGTTGCCTCATGCGCTGGTGAGAATGATGCACCTAATACTCAGGCGTCGAAGTCCACAATTCGAAGCTTGGGGCCAGTGGATCACCAGCCCTATGATCTACATTACGGTGGAGGCGTTTGTTAAGGAATAGTCCCAGGAGGCGCCAGACCCTGGAGGATTCCTTATCCAATGAGGGCCGCGGTGATATCCATGGCCAAGCGTCGATTGGAGTTCCACAGGTCTCCAGACCCTGGATTCCTTATCTAAGGGTTCCTTATCCAATGCCCACACCGCGTGATCTGGGCGGGTGGCTGGCCTCTTGCCGCCCATGGGCGCTGTGGCGAGGCCGCGCGGGCGGTGTCGGCATTGGCCCGTGCGCGAGCCTTGCTTGCATGCGAATTGACAAGGCCTCGGCCGCGAAGAGAGAAAGAAAATGCCCCCACCGTAGCGAGTTGCACTAAAGTCTTGCACGTCTTAAAGATGTGCGCTGACAATTCCAGTGGACCTTCTCCACGCCCTTCGCCGCACACGAGCCCCGACGCGACCGGGGCTCGCGGATGTGCTCCAGCCTTAGGTCGGGCCTGTCCCCAGGGGATTTAGGACGAACAAACAAAACATGTTTTTCTTACCAAAAGAAAACAAAACATCGTCCGCGTGTTTTTTTATTATTTGCACATTCCTCTTGTAGAGGGACGTGCCCGACTTAACTCCAATCTGACGGAATCCAGCTCCCCCAAGCATCTCGGACACATTGGCCTCGACCTCCGTGCGCCGTTGCCTCGTCGGTAAAAAGGCACGTGGCAGCGAGGCTGTCCAGCCACAAGCTGATGCCAGAAAGCGAGCTTCCTTTTCCAGTCCTCTTTCCTTCGTGATCCGTCCTTCCCGGCATTGTCTGCGGCATCAGGCTTGGCATTGTTTGCTCACGGTTGGTGGCTTGCCGCGCCGCCCGGCTTGCCAGAGTTGCTTCGCCACTCTCACACGTGATGCGCGTGTGTATGTGGGTTTTCTAAACAGGTGTTAGGGGTTTTCACGGCACTGCTGATCGCTCAGGAGGGCATAGTTGGCCTATTATTCAAAGCTTGTAGTCTGCTGTGCGAGTTTGATTTCCCTTGCTGACAGCCTGGCATTGTAAAGCGTTCGTCCCAGCATTGTCCGCGGCCATTTCAAGCTTGCCATTGCGCCCCACGCGCGCACCAGCGCAGAGGTAGGACCAATAGTGGACTGATTGGCCCACGGCAGGCTGGCTGCTCAGTTCTTGGCAGGACTTGCTAGCGTATCTTGTAATAGTCATGTGTGGGCGGCCTCCTCCTCCTCCTCCTCCTCCTCCTCCTCCTCCTCCTCCTCATACTCCTGTTACTCCTCCTCCCCCTCCTCCTCCTCCTCCTCCTCCTCCTCGCTCCTACCGCCTCCTCGTTCCTCCTACCGCCTCCTCGCTCCTCCCACCGCCTCCTCCTCCGCCTCCGCCTCCTCCTCCTCCCCGGTCTTCTCCAAATTTCCTCTTTCTCCATCCCCTCCCCCTTTCCCAACCGCCCCCCTGCCCTGCCTACCCCCCCCCCTCCTTCGACCCTTGCCCCGGAAGTCGCGCGCGGAGGTGCGGGGGGCCTACGACTGCTCGCCGAAGCGACTGCGGGCCCAGTTCCCTCCGCCAGGAAGAGGATGCGCAAGTCTTCGGCAGAAGGCGGAGGACGGAGAGGAGGTCCTAATTAGGAGGAGGGGGAGGAGGATGCTTGATAGGAAAAGTTTTCGCTTGTTAAAGAGGAGGGTCCGAAGCGGTTCTCGCTGCGGGAGGTTGGGGCGGGGGCCAGTGGGAAGAACTGGAGGAGAGGGAGGATAACGAGTACGGAGACGCGGGGGAGGATTATGAGGACGGTGGGAGGATGATGGTGACGATAAGGAGGAGGAGGAGGAGGAGGAGAAGCAATGATATGCCCATGAGCAGGAGGCGGGAGGACGAGCAGGCGGAGGAGGAAGAGGTTGACGAGGTGGGGGGCACGTGGGATCGAGGAGGGATCACGAGGAGCGGAAGAAGGGGGAACTGTGGGAACTGTGCATGGGCGACAACAGAAGTCGCATCCCCGTAGGCAAATATGTGCGACGGAACGGGACAAGGGCAAGTCGCCTAATTGTGATCAGGACAAATGGGTGTTGTTTTCTAAGAGGGGAGGTTTCTCTTACGGTCTCAGCACGCGAAGCAAAACACACTTTGACAGAGAGAACAACACGTACGTCATGGAGTTGAAGATCTTGCACCCAGGTTCTAAAGTGGAAGCGAAACCCCTATCTGCCATTGAGTGCAGCTCTGGGGATTCAGGCGGCGCTTCCGGAGTTTTCTGGCGGCAGTCGTGAAAGGCGCAAGACCCTCTAAATGCCAAACGTGTCGTTTCACATTGGTCTCTGCGTGCAACCCAATTCTTGATGACATTCTTGACACAGTTGCCGCTGATGGCAGCATGGATGTAGAGACCAGCGCGGGCAATGCCCGTGGGCATCAAGGCGAGGCTTCGAGTCCCAGACGAGTTGTTGGAGCGCCCCCGCCTCCGACAATTGTCGCGCGGGCGGAAGAGGGCGAGGACTGGGTAAGCCGTCCCGAGTTCGATATTTCACCTTCAGAGCCCGAGTCCGGACCCCAACAAGTTTCTGACGAAGTTCGGATATTGCCTAAACTTTCTCAGACCCAAACTAACCAACACGTCAAGAGATCATCGATCACGAAAAGAGTTGTCATAGTCAGCATTGGTCTTGGTGCCCGCAATGCGTGCAAGGTCGCGGAAAGGCCCTTGACCACAGGGCCGCATCAGACAGAGCTCGTTTAGTGAATGCCCTTTCGATTGATTATTTCTTTCCCGGTCAAAATGATGACCCCACTTGCACATGTATAGCGCGTGCTGATCATGAGTCAGGTTGTCGTAGTTGTCGCGTGATACCAACAAATATGCATGCGTACGTGGTGACATGTCTACACGACGACATCAATCACCTAGGCTACAGAAAGTTCATCTTTAAGTCGGATCAAGAACCCAGGTTGTCTTCGAAACGAGCCCTGTTGGAGACGATCACGCAAATCGCGTTGTTGAGCGTGCGGTTCAAACGATGTCTGGTCTCATTCGTACTTTGCAAGATGCACTTGAAACGAACGTTGAGTGGACCATTCCATCTCAGCACCCTGTGTTGCCGTGGCTGGTACAGTTTGCTTCTTGCGTGCTGAACAGGTGCCAAGTTGGCACAGACGGCCGTGCATCGCACGGGCGTCTGAAGGGGAAACGGCATTTGAAGGCATTGCCACAATTTGGAGAATGCGCGTTTTATTTGCCAGCGGTAGGTAGTAAAGGTAAATTGAATAAATTAGAAAGCAAATTTGTGGACGGTGTGTTCTCAGGGGTAACCGACCAGTCAGATGAGGTGTTTGTTGGCACCCCAAGACGGCGCAGTAAAAGCACGGTTGTGCCGTAGACGACTTCCGTCGTTACGTTGGTATGTTGAGTTTTTGAAGAAAGTGAAGGGTGTTCCTTGGAAACCAAACCTTGCGTTTGAAGAGCCAGACGTAAGCGTAAATCTGGTGATCTAGCTTGCTTAGCCAGCGGGCTTCCCACCGCCACCTCCGTTGGCGAAAGCAGAAGAGCACGCAGCAATTCCACGACACTTGTACATTAGGTCAACAGACCCCGTCAAGTTTGGGTGCTCCGCTGGATGCCCTGGTTGCGAAGCGCATCTCGATGACAAGCCGCCAGCCACCCATTCACAGGCGCGCCGTGCCTGGATCTACCCGCCGATGAGATCTTCTCTTCAGGGGCGATTCCGGGAAGAGCACCAGAAACGAAACATCTATGATTACAAGGGCCGTTCTTCCAAAATGGATCCGGCTGAAAATCCCAACGGTGAGAGTGAACCGAAACGTAGGAACGCGCCACAAAGCCCGCCAATCGTTCCCGAAACGGGCGAGGCCAGCTTGAAACGCACAGCTTCTGCAGCTGGTTTGCCGGCAGGTGCCCAGGAGGGCGCTGAATCAGCGATGGGAGTTGAGGATTCGACTTTTGCGCAGACAGGCTCTCATGCGCCATCTTCTGGTTCAGCAGGGCCTGTTTCAAACGGTTTTTGTTTAGACGCGCAGCGAGAAGGCATGAATGTAGGAGAATTGAACGCTCTGCCAAAGAGCATCGTTCATAATGTTGATTTAGAATATTTGCAATCGTTGCAGAAATCCTTTCCTCAAAGTAGGATACGAGACGTGTGTGTCTGGGTTAATTGATCAACGTTTTGATGACGTTGGCATGTGTCATGGTTTGGATAGTTTTTTGTTATGGATTTCACGCGCATGAACCCGCGAGATGGTATGGCGTGGGATTCCAGCATTCTTTCGCACCGGGAACAAGCAATGATTTCAATGAGCGCAGTGGTGCCGCTGTCGGGAATTGGTACAGCGCCGTTGGTTGCAGAGCCGCAGAGAAGAAATGAGAGTGTGAAGTTTCTTCGTCGTCTGTATCTTAATCAGACAACAGAGGTAAAACAGGGAAACCGCCATGGAGTGGCAAGTCTACATCGCGCGTCGAATAGTTATGGAAATGGTGTCCGGACGTTTTTTTGCAAACAGGTGTTTCGCGAACCCGTTTTTTTTGCAGGCGTGCTTGAAGGATTAGTGAATGAATTTTTAGGATTAGTAAATGAATTTTATTGTTCTCATTAGCTGAGTTTGAATTCAGTAGGTGTTGTTGTGTTCGGAGGCACCGGTTTCTCAGATCGGCGACTATTCCATTTATTGGGGCAGAATTTCCGGAGCACGGCTCGAGACATCAATGGTTTTAGATGTTCGGCAAGTAGAAATGAAAGAAGTCGAAAACACAACGTGCACATTAAAGTGTCATTTTCTGAGTGTTTTGAGAAAACAGGCCGTGCTCCAATATGCACCCGGTGGGTGGACGTGAACAAAGGCGACGAGAACCAGCCTGAGTACAGGAGCCGGATCGTCGCGCAAGACCTGAAGAAATTGGAAGACAGAGACGACACGTTTGCAGCGACACCACCATTTGAGGCTCAGAAGTTCATTCTCAGTTTGTGCATGGCAGAAACACCACAACAACAGCAGCGATCATACGTATCTTTTCTTGACGCTCGCCGTGCACATTTTCATGCGCCTGCCACGCGGGAGGTCTATGTGGATTTGCCACCAGAAGACGATTCGCCTGGCATGTGTGGCCGTTTAAACAAAAGCCTCTACGGCACCCGCGATGCCGCTCTCAATTGGGAGGCAGAAAACACGGCAGTGATGCATGCAGGTGGTTTTTCTAGTGGGTCTTGGAACCCATGTTTTTTACACAAGACGAGCGATTTGAAATGCTACGCACACTGAGGTGATTGTATTGTTGTGGGTGCAGATGTAGATTTACAGTGATTTCCTACTTACATGAAAGGTGAGTTCGATATTAAAGATAGTGGTACATTGGGTGACCTTCAACACCTGATTGAGGAACTACGTTGTTTAAACAGAACAATTCGTTGGTGTGTTGACGAAGAACGAACGGGTCGTACGTAGAATACGAGCCGGACGACAGGCATGCTGATATTGTGATTTCTCAGTTTGGCTTTGACCGTGCGCAAGCAATCGCAAAGCCAGTCACGACGCCTGGCGTGAAGCAAAATCTTCTTAATGAGTCAGACAGGTTGGGTCCACATACGACTGCGTTGTTTAGGAGCGTGTGCAAGCGAATCAACTTCCTCGCGATGGATCGCGCAGAGTTGCAATTCGTTGGACAAGAAGCAACACGTGGAATGTCGAGCCCAACACTAGCAGACATGGAAAAAGGTAAAGCGTATAGGTAGGTATTTACGTCACTGCCCTAGAACTTGTCAAATGTTTCATGTACAATTTCTTCAGTGTTGCTGTGATGTTTACGTAGACAGTGGCCACGCAGGGTGCTTGGACACACGGAAGAGCACGAATGGCGGTGTCCACCATCATGGGCAGCATTGCATCATAACGTATTCATCTACTCAGGCCGTGATGGCGCTGAGTTCTGGGGAATCAGAGTTTTACAGTATTGTAGAAGGGATCAGTACATGTCCGAGTTTTACGCAATGGCGACCGATTTCGGATTTGATTTCAAATCTCGTGTTTTCAGGGACAGCTCCTCGGCGAAGGTAATTGCTACGAGGAAAGGTGTAGGACAAATGCGCCACCTGCACACCCAATCGCTGCGGGCACAGGACAAGGTCCATCAGAAGGAAGCTTCCGCGCACAAGGTGCCCAGGATAGAAAATCCGTCCGACGAAGGCACTGAACTGGTAGCCGTGGCAGGACCATCTAATTTTCCCCTCCGCGCAGCAACTTGACCTCGTAACAGCAAACGCCTGTTTGAAACGTGATCGTTCTAAATGTCACATTTTTGTTTGTGTAGTGTCGTCAACTCTGCGGCAACGACCATGTAGGTGAAAGAGAGAGGTTCCTTGTACTTCTTCCTCCACAGAGACTGAACACCAATGAAGTACACCTCGACCAGGGCCCGGCCAGCGTAGAAGTATTAGGTTCGCTTTTCAGGGGATCGCCGTGGATCGTCACATTCCGCTACACTTTCAAATGCCTCGGGTCGAGCGGTTCGGTGGTGTGATTGTCAAAGACGTCCCCTCCAACTGTGAAGACGTCCCTGCCGAACTGGCGCGTCGAGAAATATATTGTTTAGCCGGCATTGTCGCGAGTAGTAGGGGCAGCAGTGGGAGGAGCAGCATTTGCATCCGCAGGCATTTATAGGTCCCAAAAGCATACATATTTCTCATTGATTGATCATGTTTGCATATTGTTGGGTATGATTTCGATTTTTTTATTTGTTCGTCAAAGTCCGCCTGTGGGGGGGGACATGCCCGACGCAATCCTATGCTTCTGGTGCCTTTTCCGGTCAGACGGCTGGAGGGCGGGTATGCTATAAAACAGGGTCTCGCCTGAGTGGCAGGCCCGACGGGCGCTCGTCACTCAGCGGGGGCACCTCCCGCAGTGGAGAGGAGTACACGTTGTTCACTTCCAAGTCTTCGAAAGTTGGTTGATTTTTTGGGGGGGCAAGATCCTTTCATGTCTAATTGTTATATCCCGGGCCTGTTCCTGGCCACTGGGGGGCCAGGAACAATTAGAAACGAACGCAATTAGAAATGAGCACGATTAGACATGAACGACGTGTACGTATGTGCAGGGAGTTCGGCGGAAGGGATTCGGGACGAGACGAGGTGAGGTGGTGTATTGTAGCATCGCTGATGCATCATGGGCTCACACTGGTCCTTTGTGTTGCCTTCTCCTTCTTCCTTTCCTCCTCCTCCGTCTTCCTCATCTTCCTCGCCAATCGCTTATCCATCTCCTCCATCTCCTCCTCCTCCTCCTCCTCCTCCTCTTCCTTCTCCTCCTCCTCCTCCTCCTCATCCCCCTCCGCCCCCCCTTATTCACCGCCACCTCGTCAGTCCTTCAGGGAAATATTGGCCTCCGGCGGCAGAGCGCACCCCGCACAATACATGATAGATGAATGTGGTGCAGCAGGGGGCAACGAAAGATAGATACCGCCAGCAGCGAATCCGTCCCTGCAGCCACACAGGACGAGGCTGGAAGGGTAGGTTTGTCCTTTCTGGCGAGTTGTACCTTGCGTATTCCTTGTCTGACCATCTCAGTCTTCTCTTCTGCGGCCAGTGGGATCCCACCCTCCGTTCTCGCTCCTCATCACTGAGGTCAGAATGCTGGCCGACTTAATCGTGAACGGTGATGAAGGCGAAATTTCGGCGGAGGCGTGATACGTTGACACTGGTGGTGACGGTGGTGACATTACAGACGTTGAAGGTGCCGATGGCCAGGTTGTGTCTGACAGTGATGTTCATGATGTCGGTGATGACGACGATTTATCGTGTGGTGAATTTGCAGTGGCATTGGACTCCAATGTGCGTGCTGGAGACCTCGTGGGGTCTTTTAGGGGAGGGCCCATGGCGGTCTATTGGAGGCATCTCGGAGGCGTCTTAGGAACCCATGGGGTGCTTTTGAGGGATGGGTGCCTCGTGCTGGTTTTCGGTGGTATCGGGGGCAGTATGTCTCGAGTTCGCATGTTTATGCCCCGTCGTAGACCCTTGTTGGGCCCCCTCCAGTGCTCGGGGGAAGTCTTTGTGCGATATTGGGAGCATAGTTTGCCTTTTTGGTAGGCTCTTCAGAGCGAACAGGGCCGAACTGCTCAAGTCTTGCAATGGCATGGCACCTTACTTATGCGTTGCTGACTCATGTTTGATCCCTCCACCAACCCTCGTGGCCCCAAGGCAGTCCAAGCAGAGGTGCCGATTCCCATTTCGGTTGCAGGAGCGCGCTACACCCCAGAACTTTTAGACGGTGGGGGATGCCCTTCAGGGCATCTGGGATGTTCACTACTGAGGGCTCTTGAGGGCCTTCGGACGATCCACGAGCGCCTAATGTCATCATGCTTGGGCGAAGTTGGTATTGGTATGAGCACGCGCCAAGGTATCAATCTAACACATGTGGATGATAACGGTCATGCTGTTCGTGTGTGTCGTGGTAAGTGCGATGACGCCGATGACGATTGTGACCACTCTGATGCCGCTGATTACGATGATGGTGGCGGCGATCACGGCGACGAGCTCGGAGCTGACCAGGTTCTTGTGTTTGCTGAACCGTGTGGCCATGGCGGAGGCTACGCGGCAAAACGATTGCGTCAGGAGCAATTGGCACGAGGCTTGCCGAGGAGGCGGAGGTTGACGACAATGAGGATAATGCGGAGGAGAATGACGAAGAGGAGTCGACAAATGAAGAGATGGGGGAGCAGCAGGCGGAGGAGGAGACTTGACATGCTGAGAACGATTCAAATATAACCCACATGACCCAAGCACGTTGTTCGCAATGTTTCGGCGTTGACGAGGCTGCCACGGGTGCTCCCACAGACGGATTCGGACAAGATTCTTGCGACCCATGGTGGCTGTAAAATTTCTTGCCGCCAAGCTGTATCCATATAGGCTAAGCCAGACCGTAGCTTGCCATCTATCAGATTTATTGCTATGATCGGTCGGTCGGTGGACAGCAGCAACGCTTGACGTGCTCTCCTGCCCTTTAATCAGTTCGCTCGTGGCATCCCTCCCTTCTGCGCGTTTCGAAACAGGACGCCACCCGTGAGTCTGATCATCGACTCGCAGTGACCGAAACATCACAATCACTATGAGGAGAAGCGGGCTGACGGAGAAGAAATCATACCGGAGAAAAGCCCGAATCAGAATATGATCAGGGCTCTGGGGTTGTAGGGCTATAGGACCATAGGGCTACAGGTCTATGCGGCTATAGGGCTATAGGAATATGGAGTTCTGAGGCTATAGGGCTATAGGACTATAAGGGCTATAGGGCGATTGGACTACAGGGCTATAGGGCTATCGGGCTACGGGGCTATAGGGCTATGGGGCTATAGCGCTGTAAGGCTACAGGGCTATAAGGCTATCAGACCATAGGGCTATTGGGCTATAGAGCTGTACGGCTGTTAGGACTTTAGGGCTATTTCCCTACCTAGGCTCTGCCTATAAGGGTTCTTACTCTCTATCTTAAAGCGGCCGGGCAGTGTAGAACGCCCTGGGCGGTTCCCCCGGCATCCGCCCCGCGCTTCCCCCAATTGCGCCCCCTGGGTTCACCCAGCTTAGCTTAGCTGAGCTTAGCTCAGCTTATGTTAGCTTAGCTTAGCTTAGCTTATCTCATCTTAGTTTAGCTTAGCTTAGCTTATCTTGGCTTAGCTTAGCTTAGCCTTGCTTAGCTTAACTTAGCTTAGCCTAGCCTAGCTTAGCTAGTATAGCTTAGCTTAGCTTAGCATAGCTTAGCGTACCTTAGCTTAGCGCAGCGCAGCATAGCGCAGCGCAGCATTAACACAGCATGGCATAGCATAGCCAAGCATAGCATAGCATAGCATAGCACAGCATAGCTCAGCATAGCATAGCATAGCATAGCATAACATAGCGCAACATAGCATAGCATAGCATATCATAGCATAGCATAGTGTGTGTATGTGCGCAGGTAAATCAAAAACAAAGTCGGGCAACAGCGAAAACAAAAGTAAAGCAAGCGCAACAGCAAACGCAAAAGCAAAGGCAAAGGTAAAAGCACAGGCAAGAGCAAAAGCAAAGGCAATGCAAAACAAAAGCAACACCAATGCGAACTTGTAGATGTAGATGTAGATGTAGGTGTAGGTGTAGATGTGGATGTAGGTGTAGATGTAGATGTAGATGTAGATGTAGGTGTAGATGTAGGTGTATATGTAGATGTAGATGTGAGTCTCGCTGTTGATGTTGATGTAGATGTAGATGCAGGTGTATATGTAAATGTAGCTGTCGGTGTAGATGTAGATGTTGCTTTCCTAAATGCTCCAACTCCTAGGTAGGGTCGCACTGGGATAATGGGCTATAGGGCTTCGGGACTATTAGGGCTACAGGGCTATGGGGCTTCTGGGCTGTAGAGCTAGAAAGCTATAAGGATATAGGGCTACTGCAGGGCTGTAGGGCTACCGGGCACTCGGGCACCCGGACACCTGGGCACCCGGGCACCCAGGCACCTGGGCACCCGGACACCTGGGCACCCGGGCACAGGCACCTCCGGGCACCTCCAGGCACCTTTGGGCACCCCCAGGCACCTGAGCACCTGGGCACCGCTGGGCACCCCGGCACACAGGCTGGCCACCGAAATCGGAGACGCACTTCACCGAACTACATGAATCCGCTAGGACTCCTACAGGGGCAAGTTCTTATTGGGAAATAGTGGACTGAAGAGGGAAAATGAGGAACAGGAGGGATGCGGACAGGGTAAAACGACTGCGATTGGAACAGTTGGCGCGATGGTTAACGCGAAGGGAGACGGCCTGGTGACTCTGGGGTGGGGGGGGGTGTAGGGAGGTTGCGGGGCAAATTGGCCGCTGGCCTCTACTTGCTACAATGCTTGCTCCTTTCTTCTCCCTCTTCCCGCGCTTCCTTTATGTGTGTTTCCTGCTCTCATTAGCAGGCATACATTAGGCACACAGAATACGGCACCGACTTGCCTGCGGATTTTGCCTTGTGGACCAATGGTCTCGAAGGCGAGCAGAGAGCGAGCTCATCATTTTTGCTCCTCCTCCAGCTTTGCTTTGCCATTGCTCCTTCGAGACCCAGGCAGAGTTGTCAGTACTTGCCCAGCAGTCTCCCTCGTTCCCAAGCTGTCAGCATGTGTCGAGGACCGTCAGGTGAAGCTTACGGGCGTGTCCGAACGGAAGGGGCTTGGAGGAGAAATGTCAGCATGTGCTGCATGAGTGGTTGAAAGACAAATACTTCGAGGAAATAGAAGTTCAAGGGCCACGGTTCCATGCTCACTATGTGTGAAAATTGTGCCGGTGCTGGCTGATGTTACCACAACATGGCATATTCATGCGAATTTTGCCGATAACCTAAAAGAATCAGCGGAGGAGGAGGGGGGAATGAAAGGAAGGGGAGGAAGGGGGAGTATATGAGTGGAGCGAGATGCGAGGAGAGTAAGAAACGAGCAGTAGGTTCATTGGCGAGAGGAGCATTATGCTGAGGAGGATCATTGACTTTAGCATAAGGGCGATCAGCAGCAATATGGATAAGGTTGTTCGTGCCGGGATCGAGTAAGATTCTGTGCCCAGCAATTGACGTCAGCACAGAGCTCAGGGAACTTATTTTGACCCGCCCGCGGACGCGCGCAACCGCAACCGCAACCGGGCGACACATTTTGGGCTGCCCGCGGTCGCGCGCAATCGCAACCGCAACCGCAACTCGGTGACACATTTGGGACGCCCGCAGGCGCGCGCAACCGCAGCCGAAACGGGGCGACACACCGCTCAGGCCGCCCGCGGACGCGCGCGCGACCGCAGCCGCGGGCGCGCACGACCGCAGCCGCAACCAGGTGGCACACTTTGGGACGCCCGCGGGCTCGCGCAGGCGCCAGTGCAACCGGGCACTGGGCCGTCCGCGTGCCCGCGCAGCCACAACCGCCACCGCGCCGCGCACTCTGGGGCGCTAGCGGGCGCGCGCAGCCGCCAGTGCTCCCCAGGGGCCTGTGCGCGGCCCCCCGGGCGTTGCCCGCGGTCCTCCGCCGTGACACAGCAGCGGGGACTCGGGAATCCCCCAGTCCTCGCTCTTGCCGTCGATTCATTGATAGGAGTACGGCTATGAAAATTGCGATCTGGATGGGTCTGCTTATCCGAACACGTATAGGCGTGGCATGATCGTTATCGTTTCCATTAACCTGAGAACGAGCATACATGCAGCTGCGAGCACGAGCATCCATGTGCGAGCCACGGGTAATTAGGGGGCAACTGGATTGAAATCGTGTGTCACCGGAATGAGCCCCAGGAGGAGGAGGGCAGGTACCCCCCCACCTCAAATGGTTTACCTATTGTGAGCATGTCCTTGCGTTTGAGGTCGAATGTTCTACCAGGCCTTCGGCCACCGCATGGCTAGGTGCGCTGGCCATCCGCGTGTGCATCCAGCGAGTGGCCTCCGCGTGTTCTGGTCTTGTGCGCTTCCAATTTCCCGGTGCCCTGGCCGTTATTGGCATGTGGAGTTGCGCGTGCTCTATGCTTCTCCTGGAGCGCGCCACGACCAGAATCTCAAGACGAGCCCAGCCGCTGCGACGATGGACTCGGGTGCGTAGGCCCAGAAATGCAGGGCCCCTCCTTTCTCCTCCTCCTCCTCCTCCTCCTCCTCCTCCTCCTCCTCCTCTTTCTCCTCCTCCTCGTCCTCCTCCTCTCGACAAGCCCGGAGACGAACGTTTGAAGTGTCCACAACATGCGAAGAGAGCGCGCCAAATCTCGCCTGAATGATGCAGAATCCAAAGCGCTCGCCCGGAAGGTCGAGGGACAGGATCAAAGGTGCCGCCTTGTCGGACAGGGCAACCCCGGAAGTCGTCGGGGGGGGCGCAGAAAGAACGGTATATGAATGACACAAGAATGGATGCACCTAGCATTGAGCGCCCCTCATTATTAGAAGATATCAGGGCTTCTGGCGGCCATGTGGCAGTACATCTTGTCGAAGGCGGTCTCGTCAGTGAAAACAAAAGCGGCAGGAACATTGCGGCAGGTGTCGAGGCGGCTTGTCTCGAGCCCGTTACTTCTCTCCTCCTCCTCCTCCTCTTCCTCCTGTTCCTGCTCCTCATCCTCCTCCTCCTGCTCGTTCTCCTCCTCCTCCTCCACCTCCTCTTCCTCCTCCTCTTCCTCCTCCTCCTCCTCTCTTGCCTCTTCCTCCTTTTCCTCCTCCTCCTCCTCATCCTCTTCCTCCTCCTCCTCCTCCTCCTCCTCCTCCTCCTCCTCCTCCTCCTCCTCCCCGCCTCCTCTCGCATTGACGCGCTCGTTGCCCCTCCTCCCTCCCCTCCGCTCAGGTCATGAGAGCTTTCCCTGAGGTGCCACTCTGGCGGGACCTGCTCGAGCGGCTGAAGGTGCGCGTCTGGTCGGTCGACGTCGATCCTCCTGACGACCCCGCCGACCCAGAGGCACGTGGCAAGGAAACGAGGGAATGAGGTGGGGAGACCGTAAGGCCTCGGACTGCGCACAGACAGCTTCCCGCCCTGTTCTCCCGCTGCCGTTCCCTCTCTGTCCCAGCCCCGTTCCTCGAGCAGGGGATCGACCACAACAGGATGGATCTACCCCGAACTCGATTTTTCCGCCTGGTCTGCCAAGCATGCGCCGAATGCTCCGTAGATCTACAGCACATGATACGTATGTTGCGCACTTTGAGCGGAAAAACGGTGTCTGGGGTAAATCAGTTCTGTAGCCGACGCCTGCTCGAACTCCCCGTCCCCGTATTCCTCCGTCTCTCCATCGTTCTTCTTCCCGCCCCTGCCCTGCCCCCCCCTGCTGCTTCTTGTCGGCCCCCCTCCCCTTCCACCGCCCTCCGCCCCTCCCTCCTCCTCCACGACCCTCCCCTCCCGGCCGCCACCATCGCTCGCCCTCGCCCCTCCTCCGGTGTCCTCGCCCCCAACTTTGCCCCTTTCGTCCCTGCGTCCTGCTCCTCCTTTCCTCTTCCTGCTTCCCCTTTCCATCGTCTGCCCCCGTCATCCCGCATCGCCCTCCCGTCATCGTTTGTCCCGCGCTTGCTGGTCGAGGCGGAGGAGGAGGAGTTTCCTCCCCACATCCCTCTCTCTCTTGCCTCTGCTCTCTCTCTCTCTCTGCCCTTCCCTCCTCCCCCGTCCCGCCTCCCTCCTCCATCCTCCTTGGCCTACGTCATTCTTCCTCGTTCCGACCCTGCCTGAGTGGCTCCTTCTGTCCTCCTCTGGATCTCCATCCCCCGCTTCTGCCCATCTCCTCTTTCGAAGGCCAAGATTATGTCCTCATCCCCCTCTCTGGATCCCCCTTGCTCCCCCTCCCTGCTTCCTCCTCGCCCTCCTACCCCTCTCTGGATCCCCCTTGCTCCCCCTCCCTCCTTCCTCCTCGCCCTGCCTCCGTCTCATCGCTGCTTGGCATGCTGTTTCGTCCTGCATCCGTCTGCCCCTCCTCCTTCTGTCCCTCCCCATATCGCGCCTCATCACAGTGCGTCCCCAGCCGTCCTGCTCCTCCTCCTCCTCCTCCTCCTCCTCCTCCTCCTCCTCCTCCTCCTCCTCTCCCTCCTCCGCCTCCTCCGCCTCCGCCTCCGCCTTATCGCCATCCCCCCCCGTGTCGCTGTCCCACCTTTCTCGTTCCTCTTTCACCTGCCTCTTCCTTCTCTTCCTCTTCCTCGTCTTCCATACACTGAAAACCCATGCCAAGAAACACCCTGCTTGCCTCCAGTGTGCCCTGGGTTTCTTGGGTATCGATGGTTTAGCCAGAAAGAGCGGGACGTTCCCACACCAAAAATCAACGGACGTTTTTAGGGGTCCAGAGTTGGGTTTCTTGTGGAAGGTGTCTTGTAGCCGGGCTCCTACAGTATCCCCTTTGGTGCAGGCGGCCATTCCCGCCTTCCCCTCCCCATCTCTTCCCTTCATCCGCGCAGCGCGTAAGAACCTCCGGATTCAGGATAACGTCTGTGCAAACTGTGTGGTGGCGAAACGCTTGACACCGCAGCTACCGACACGTCTGGTAGTGCGGCGATATTGGGCTTGTATACGGGGTGTAGGAAGTTGTTGCGGAGAATGGTGTGAACGAAGAAGGAGGAGGGGAGGAGGAGGAGGAGGGGAGGAGCAGTTGGTGGAGGATGAGAGGGATGTGCAGGAGGATGATGAACGATGGAGGAGGAGGAGGTTGAGATATGGAAGGAAGGATCTTGGAGGGCGGGGAGGAGGAGCGGGACGGAGGAAAGGGAGGAGGAGGACGAGGAAGAGCCACATGGAGGCGGGTGATGATGACGGTGAGGACGAGGTGGAGTACAGGGGGGGAGGTGCAGGAGGAAGGAGGAGGACAGAGGGATCATCAGGAGGGAGAAAGAAGCGGAGGGAGGGTGAAGACGAGGAGAACGGACGCCAGCCGCAGATTCGGGATTCCCGAGCCACTCTGTTGAATCCGCCTCACTGATCTGCTACTGCTTCTCCTCCTCGTGCCACTGCTGCCCCCCCCTCGTAGCCGTTTGGCTCACGCCACCTGGCTGTGCAAGTTGTATGTTCCTTGCGGTCGAACAAACCGAGGCTTCTCCCGAGGCCCGCCAGACGGGTTCCCGATCGCGGTGGTCGGTTTTGCCAACCCGAGGTGCCAGGGGGCCCTCGACGACGACGACGACGACGACGACGACGGCGGTGGCGAGGGAGACGAGGACGACGACGAGTACAAGGACGGCGACGAGGACGAGGACAAGGACGTGGGGGCGTGCCAAACCGCCCCCCCTCAAGCCAATAGAAGAGCCCGAAGGTGTTCACTGCGATGGGTTGCGAAAGTCTCTGTCGTCGCCTCGGGAGGCTCCTCCTCCTTCTCCTCCACCTCCTCTTCCTTTTCCTCCTCCTCCTCCTCGTCATCCTCATCCTCCTCGTCACCACCACCACCACCACTGTTGTCGGTCAAGTTGTTATTCCTTCGGACGGTGAACCGACCACCGCCCGAGCATGTATGGGCAGCCGCAGCCGCAGATGATGGGGGCCCCGGTGCAGTCGATGCAGTGTGGCGCCTGCCAGCAGGTCCGGTTTCTCCTCCATACTCCCTTTCCCCCCTCTTTCCTTGCTTCGTACCTCTTTCTACCCCTTCTCTGCAAGGGCGGGGCTCCCTGCCCCCTTGTTCTTCCTCCTACTCCTCCTTCTCCTCGGGCATCCTGACTCACCTACCCTCGTACCTCCTGGCTTCACGAGGCGGAAAGACCGCGACTCTCCAGCAGAAGAGGAGGGGGGAGGAGGAGGAGGATGTTGTTTCCCGCTGATGACCGCTTGCCTACTTGTTGTTTCCCGGCTGATGGCATGCGGCCACGGTTCCTTGGTTTCCATGGCGTTGCGGGCGGGGGAGAGAGACATGGACGTATGCGATTGCACGAAGATGTCCGACAAAGAGTGCGTAACGGATCCACAAAACGGAGCAGTGCGGCGTGGAGGTGGAACCACCAGAAGAAGCAAATCAAGCAGATGTGTTATTTTTCATGTCGCCCAAGTAGAGATGAAGAGTGCTGGCACTATACAGGTGTGTACATATATATGTATGTGTGTAAATGTATGTATATATATGGATGGTTGGATGGATGGATGGATGGATGGGTGTGTGTATGTGTGTACGTATGTATGGACGCATGTATGTATGCATGTGTGTATGTATGTATGCATACATGCATGCATATATGTGCGTTTGCGTGTATGCATGTGTGTGTCATGTGTGTGTGCATGTATGGATGTAGGTATGCATGCAAGTATGTATGGTTATACGTGTGTACACATGTATGAACGTATGAAAATTCGAAAGTATTTACATATGTACGAATTGTGTGCAAGTATGCATGCATGTCTGAATAGATGTGTGGTTGCATGTGCGTTTGTATGTATGGATATATGCATGTATGGTTGTATGTACGGCTGTATGGTATGTGTATGCGTATGCATGTGTGTATGTATGTATGTATGTATGTATGTATGTATGTATGTATGGTTGTAGTTATGTATGTGTGTATGCATCATGCATGTATGTATATGTATGTATGTATGTATGTATGTATGTATGTATGTATGTAGGTATGTATGTATGTATGGTGGTATGTATGATTGTATATGTGTAGGAATATATGTATGTAGGTATGTATGTATGTGCACGTGGTTGGTTGATCGTATGTCTGTGTGAATGTATGTATGTATGTATGTATGTATGTATGTATGTATGTATGTATGTATGTATGTATGTATGTATGTACGTAGTTGTGTGCGTTGGTGTGTGCATACGTATATGTATATAGGTGTGTATGTATGTATGTATGCATATATGTATGTGTGTACGTATGTATGTATGTACGTATGTATGTATGTATAGGTGTGCGGCCCGTCCCAAGAGAAACAGACAACCTTGCCCACAAGCGCAAGATAGATCTCTGTATCCCCAAGGGTAGCTTGAGGCCAGGTCGATTCAGCAAATCGTGCTTTCAAACGATTGGCAACAGCATAGGACTCTTCCGGCAGAGAAGCACACACGATACTCGTTAGTTCAATTCCGTGTGTGTGTGTGTGAGACGACGTCGAAACTATTGACGCTTGACGTATCCCTACCAGCCCATCGCGAAACGATGCCCAGGCGAGTTGCCTCTCATAATCTCCTCGGATGTCTCTAGGAAGCTGTTTGGAGGCCTCTTGGAGCGTCTTGGGGTTGGCGGTCCCGGGGGCCTCTTGGAGCGTCTTGGGTGCCTCGGGGAGCCGCTTAGGGCATCTTGGGGGTCTCTTGGTTTGCCGTCGTTGTCTCCCACCCATCTTCCTCGTCCGCTTCTTTCCCCTCTCGCTCCTCCGCTTCCGCATCCATCCTCCCTCATTCATCCTTCCCCTTTCCTCATTCCTCTCCGTAGCTGGCCTTTGCCCCCCCCCCCCCCCTTTCCCTCCAGCTAGCAGGTCTTTGGCATCACGCCTGGGCCAGCGCAGTTCCAGTGCCCCTTCTGCCAGGCGGTCAACGTGGCCCCGCCGCCCCAGGGGGTGCCGATGGGCACGCCAATGGCCGCAGGGGAGATCCATAACGTGGGCGCGCACGTTGTCCGCGGTGGCCTGCCCCCAGAGAGGGCCCCAATCGAAGGGGTAAACGGTTTTGAGCCCCCGCCACCACCATGCAGTCCAAGGACGTTCGCGGAAGCACACGGGAGCCGTTTCTTCCGGCGGCACGCCAAATACGAAATCTAAATGCCAGCGGGTGCCCCACGATAGAAAATTATCCGACGGGACCAGGGACCCCTGGGGTGTTCAACGACATCCAAGGTCTACACATGTTATGCGCTCTTATCCCCTGTAGCAGGGTGTCCTATACCATGTGCATGCTGCCACGAAGGGTTGTCGGAAGCCCGCGTGGGGTTCACACCAACCCCCCAGCAGCAAAAAACAGCGCCCGCCAGAGTCTTCAGAATCTCTGGAGCTAGTTTATCCAGCGTCCTGCGGCCAGCCCTGCCGCCGTGCTGGATAGACGACGTGCAAGCTACGAGCCCCCCACAGGCGCGGACGGGAGTTACGGGGTGTGCGCTGGCACGACAAGCTCAGATTGCAGGCGCTTCTAGGTCCCCGGACTCTGGGCTGGCCCCAATGGCCTCTCCCATGGCCAGGAGCAGAAGGGAAAGGAGAGGGGAAGGAGAACGCTGCGTAGCCTCCCCGCGCTCGTGAAAAGAAAGAGCCTCCCCAGCTGTTGCCGCCAATGTCGTCCCCCACGTCCTGCACCCTTCAAATCGCCCTCCCCCGTGCCGCCCTCCCGCGTGGCCCCCGAGGGTCGCCCCCAGATCAGGAGGGGAAAAAACACACAGACACAATTAATCGTCGATTCCCCCGAAAATATTGGAAAATATGGGAAGTGGGGGGGAAGAAAAAACGCCCGAAAATATGGGGGATCCTGGGGAATCCTTGTATTTGTGTGCATTCCTTTGTGTGTCCCAGGGCCCCTTCACCAGAGCTCCCCCAGGAGGGTCGCCCCCATGGCGCGGCCCCCAGCGGCCGAGGCCTCCACCCAGACCGCGCGCGCGCACGGAGAAGGTAAGCCCACCCTGCTCGCCCCGAGCCTCGGGTGGACCCAAGAGGGGGTCCAGCGACAAGGTCGACTGCGCGTAAGAGTGACCCTTCGCCGGAGTGACCTCCGGTGCGGGCTCTCCGGGGCCCCCCCCGACCGCTGAGCGCGATGCGATAGTGGCTGCTTGCGCCCTTGGATTTGGCCACCTTGCGCCCCCTCAATCCGCGCACGAAAGGTCACTCTTTCCGAGGGTCACTCTTGCGTGTCCAGCGACGAGGGGGCGGTGCAATAGAGTTGGTGCAATGGATTTGTAGGGTTGCAACTCACTTGAGGGCGTGCACTACATTCCGGGACGAGACTGTGTTGCTTGATTTTCGCGTGCAACACATGAGGTGCAACTCATTTGCAATACAGTTCTCCGGCGTAATCCATTTGCAATACAATTGCCCCGAATCTACTGCACCCCCCCTTGCAGCTGGACCCCCATTTGGGTCACCCAAAGAGCCGCAGGACTCGCTTCGACTCCTCCGATTCGATTCGATTCGATTTCGATGGCTTCCGATGCCGATTCGATTCGACTTGGGATTCCGATCTGGGTTCCGGTCTCCTATTGGACGCACACCAGTTTGCCAATCTCCGCCTACCCGACTTCTCCCAACTCGGCTGCCGATATCCGCCGATCCTATTCATCTCGATAGCCGATCCGACGAATCGATTCGATTCTGGGCTCTCCTGGAGCCGACAAGCACGTGTGCTAGCTGAAACGGGGCTCGCGAGGGCGCAACCCTCTCTCGTTCCGAGGATGCGGGGTGCCTCTGTCGAGCCCTCCCGCCTGTGCTCGGCCTCTCTGGGCTCCAGGGGGGCTCCTTGGCTTACGTCGGGCATGTCCCTCTACAGGGAGAAGATTTAAAGATACTGAAAATAGTCTGGGAACGATTTTTGGATTATGTTCCAGTGGGTTTGACCATTTGGCGGGTATTTTGTAATTTTCGTCCAAAAACCGCTTGTAGGAGGACACGCCCAACCTGATCCCTGGCCCGTGGGAGCCACGCAGTGGAAACCCATGTCAAGAAGCACCCTGCTTGCCTTCAGGATGCTCTGGGTTTCCAGGGTCTCGATGGTTTTCTTGTGGAAGGCGTGACGTTCCCACACCAAAAATCAAAGGACGCCCCAGGGTCTCGGCCTTAGGTTTCTGGTGGGAGGTTTCTTGTGGTCGAGCTCCTACTGTACAGAGACCGCTCTTTGCGGATCTTATGGGCGCCATGGATTTCTCTTAGGGCGGCTTTGGGACGTCTAGCGCGATCATCCTCAGGCCGTCCTGGGATCTTCCTTAGGCGGCTGGAGACTGTATTTGTGGCCTGATTGTGGCCATCTACTGCCTCCCTGAAGCCGTATGAGGTTGATGCTTGGGAAACGAACGACCAGTTGATGCTTGGGAAGCGAACGACCTTTTCAGGTCCATGTTGTTTTCATGTTGGCCTTCGAGGGCCCTGCTGGAGAATTCAGCCAATCCTTCATGTGGGCTCTCATGCCCGCTTCGGGGATGTCGCGAACCTCTCAGGGGTGTTTGAGCCGTCTTTGTGACTGCCTTGGGCACATTGCCGCCGTCATGGGGCGGTCTTGGGCCATCCTGGAGCCGTGAGGAGCGCCAGAGAGCACAAGGTGGGCGCACGGATTTCGACAGGTTTAGCTGCCAAGGCCAGGAGTGGGTCGCTCCCTGGACAACTACAGCTGGCGCGAGGGTTCAGAGCAGCCCTGGCCTTGGAGACCCGTTGTGGTCTTCGTGGTTGAGCCCTCCACCTTGGACTGCTCTTCGTTTGGGGCACAACCATGGGAGCCCTGGGCCTTCGGCGAAGGTGCTAACCCGAGAGGGAGAAGTAATGTAACAGGCACGGTGCAATTGGGAGCCCGCTCGCGTGATATTCCCATGTGTTGCTTGTCCTTCGTGTCTGGTATGTCTTCAACAGTAACACGCCGATGGGCTTCCCAGTGCTGCCTGTCGTTGTCGTGCTCACTCATTAGCGCTTTTGACCTTCGTTGTTGTGGTCATGTTTCCAGTGCGCAGGAACCCCACCAGACAGCCAGCAGGCATGCTACGACAGGGAACGTTTGCTTAGCGTCTCGCGCCGCTGGTTCTAGCCCACCAAAGGTCGGTGCGACATGCTGACCACATCCCAGTCCCCAGGCGTCAACTTCCCGAGCTTTTCCCAGCCTCCCGCCCCGAAGAACGGAGCGACGCCTAAGCAGAAGTTCCTGACAGTAGCACACTTCGGCGTGCTGTTGGCGCGGTGACTGTACTGTCACACGTGGGGTGGGGGGGCCGCCCGGCGTCGAGGGCGCAGCGTTCGCTCTTCTTTGGATGTTCCGTTCCCGTCTTTCGTGTGGCCACGGACCCAATGAATTGAGGACGTGTAGGCGAGTTGGTGCCCCCCTTCGCATTCCCCGTGTTGTTCCTCTCATCCCACTCCTCTTTCCGTTTCCGATTCCTTTTCTTGCCACATTTATCTTTCTCGATTTTCTCTTCATCCCCTCCGATGTATCCTCGTCTCGTTCTTCTTCCTCCTCCTCCACAGCGTCCCTTATAAATCTTAGCCAGCGTGGACCCCAAACAACGCGTTTCTAGCAATCTATGTATAGATGCTGCAGCTTGTGTAGGGCAATGTACGTGGAGCTATCTACGTGGTGCAATAGACGTGGTGCAGCTCATTTGTGGAACGCGCAGTTGTCAACTCCACTGCTCGCGCAATCATCCCACCCACCCACCCGCAAATGGTTTTGCAAAACACATGCGGCGGCGATTGCGATGAGTGCTTGGTGTTGGCTGGTGCATTTGCGCGGCCGCGCTGGCCTGTGCTCGCGCGCGCAGCGGCCAGCTAGTTTGGCACGACCGACGCGGCCGCGGTGGCGCCGACTTCGGGGCTTTCCCAGCGGGCAATTCAATGCGAGTCGGCCACTTGGGTGGGCGCGGTATCATGGCAGCGTCGACAGAGGTAAACGCAACGATGATAGTAGCGACGGTTATGACAATGATGACAGCGGCGACGGCACTGCCAGTGACGGCGCCGATGCTGATCACGCCGACGGCGATGACGAGGTCTTCGCGTCGGTGAGGCAGGTTTGGTAGGAGTTCGACATGCTCGCGCGGCCGACGCGCGAGAGTGGCTCGCATGGTGTTATTTGACACAGATCGTGCCCCCCCCCCCCAAACACGCTCGCAAGGGCGTTCGAATGGTGTCAGCATTCGCGCGAAAGGCCCGTTTGGCAGAATTGAATGGTAATTGTGAAAACCGATGGTTGTCTTGAGATTTCGCAAGAACGCGAGCGCAGTTTTCTGGAAAGCTGATGTTGCAAAACCGTGCGTTGGTGTGTTTATTTGTGTTCGGGGTACTCGATTCTGACACCGCTACACAACCTAAGGTTTGTGATGGGTTCCGGCATGCGCGCGCGACGACGCGCGCGCGTGCCCTTCGCCCCATCCGTTGCAAGGGAAATTTGCGCGACGGCACGCGCGCAAGGGTGTTCGGACGATTTCGACATGCGCGCGCGAGAGGCCCATGTGGTAGCGTTTTACGACAGTTTTGAACAACCCTTGGTTTCTTCAAGAATTCGCAGGAGCGCGCGCAATGTTTTTGTTTGAAAACCTTTGTTGTGATACCATGTGTTTTGTGTATGTTTTCGGGGCACTCGGCTTTGAAATCGTTGAGGAGCCCAGGGGTCTGGAAGGACTCCGGCATGCGCACCCGACGTCGCGCGCGTGCGGATGTCGCCCCGTTCTTAGCAAGGGGTTTATGACAATTGAAGATTGTGGATCAACGAGTGCGCGCGCATAGCGTTTTTTGCAGAGGATGAAAGCGGGTCGGTACAGGCTTGCATGTAGGATGGAGGGGCAGAATGAGTTGCAATACGACATGGTGCCGGTTTGATCCGAGGGGGGCATATCCGAATTATCCCAGTGCGACCCTACCTAGGAGTTGGAACCCCCAGGAAAGCAGCATTCGTAGTAACAGTAAAG